ATTATTTTTGAATCTTTTTTTTAATAACCGTTTCTAGACCATTTTCTAAAGGAATATACATTTTGCACTCCTAACTTTCTTGAAAACTATTCTTTAAACCCCAGTTTAGATAATTTCCCCTGTGATCGTCGCAAGCAACCTTAGGACCCTCTGCTGGAAAATTATACTGTTTAGTTTGCTCAATAACAAGTGGAGTTGGGTTCTTTTTCTTTTTTTTTTACTTCTTTATATTTTGACACCTATTAATAAAATTTTTGGCTCCGCCGCTGGTGATCACAAGCTTCATCGTTATGGAGAAGTTGATAGTAAATTATGAGTGGCGGATTCAACCAATTGGTATGTGTGTGTGTTAAAACAAGTATGGATAGAGTTAGTCATACATTTTAGGATCTACTCTCTCAATTCAGAACCCACAACGTCTAAATTCTGAATTTTGCCGATGTAAATTACATACCTTTGATGGGTTTGGCACCATCAACCCATTCATTCCAGCCCTGAGTACAATCTTGGCAAAGAACTTTGCCAGCAACATGTATTATATCCATTCCTTCAAAAGCTTCTGCAACGTTCATGAAATTAGAAAACACCAAGAATAAAGCTGCAGCCATCACCATGAAATTAACAGCCTTCATCTTCATTTGTATCAAGAATATTTGTTCAAATATTGGAGCTATATAATTAATGGATATTGCTAGAACATAACATGTTTGCAAATGTATAGATATATATATAGTACTTTATTTTCAGAAGAATTTTTGAAGTCTTTTTGACTAAGAGGCATATCATGGAAGGTCACTACCTATGACGTGCAAACCATAATTTCGCATTACGCCTAAAGGATTATCATACCCAACATGAATTATTATTTGGAAAAAAACTATACAGTATAGCCGCTACAAAAAATAATAGCCGGAAAATATGTATTTTTTGTATATTAATGTATAATATACATATTTTACACATAATCAATATATACATTTGTACATTTTGGCGAGCAAGTGTAAATATTTTTAGTTGATCGGCCAAATGTGTAACTTGCCCTTATTATTTTAGAGGAAAAGAATGTGTCTTAGATATTCGGCTTGGAAAGAGCATTTTTTTTAAATTCTGATTCAGCGCTATAATAATTTTAGTTTGGTTATAATTAGGGTTATCGATACCTAAAAATTAAAAATAATAAACTCACACGAAAAGAATAAATCATGAGTGACTCTCACGTTCTTAGTCAACCCTTTTTTATTTTTGGCTGAGGTGAACATGAGAATGAGAGCTTGTGATTCTAGTTTATTGGATTGTAAATGGTAGATGAAATAGTTTACAACTTAAAGTAATTTCTTGTAAATACCATCTTAAATAAATATTTTTAGTCCTTGAGTATTTTTCCTCATTGAAGGATTTGGGGAGGAAAGTTTGAAAGAAAGATAAGAAGGTAGCATTTAAGGAGCGGCCATTACAAAGAATTTATGTATTTATATTCAACTGTTTATGCAACTAATAATAGGGGACTTTATTCATGTTAAAGAGAAGCTTAATTTGGGGATCTTGTCTCCTTGAATTTAGCTATATATATAGGAACTTATACTCATTGTAGACATAAAATACTTGTACGCAACAAAGGCTAAATTTACTCTTGCTTTCTATTAACATCTTTTTGCTCAATACTCTGTTCTTATTCTTGCTTCCGAAAAAGCTCACTTCATAGCCAAATTTGTATTTTCTTCAAGTATTCTTTATTAATTTATTTATGTTCTTGGTTATTTTATATTTGGATCAATTTAATTCACGTGTCAATAAATCACGTTACAAATTTAACAGTACTAATTTACGGGTAAACACTAGCATGTTGGATATTTCTTTCCTACAATTAGTTTTCCCCTTTTTGGAACTTCCAGTGAGAGTAGTAAAATGGTTTTAGCATGAATCGTCGTGGATCCATGTTTTTGATAAAAATAGGTACAAGTGCACATATAGCTATTCTTATTGATGCTATTTTAGATATTAGCCAATACTTATTTTGACCTAAAATCTTAGACTAAAAATTTTAACTTCACGATAATTCATGACATTTTTGTCCCAAAATTTTGAACTGAAAAACTGAAATTCACGACGCACTAGCTAATTTTTAAATAGCAACCCTTTAGAGTGGCTATCGGGTGTCATTTCTACGATAAAATACTGGATTTGTTATGAACTCTAAAACCAGAACGCTGGAGTTATCTTTTCAATTAATGAAGTTATCTTCTTTAATCGAGTTCAGATAATTCATCGTCTACTATACTATTCCCTCTTGCGCATAAAATTTCCCCTTCTCTTCAATGTGTGTGTGTGTATATATATATACATATATATATATATATATATATATATATATATATATATATATATATATATATATATAT